CTCTGAAGCTTCACGCGTTCACGTTGACACCCGGCATTTCCTTTCTCGCCGTCAACCATCTCCATCCCGATCACAGTCACTGTTTTATGATTCCGTTTTGTTTTTTTTCAACATGGCGTAGGGAGGTTTCGACGCCAATGTTCAAAGGCCCTTCCGCTCGACCGTCCGTCCCGCCCATCCGCGCATCGCACATCCCGTAATGAGACGATCCGTGATTGTTCTTCATAATTAACGAGCGGATCAAAGTGTGAGCCCGCTGAGGAGGCCCGCAGGACGCCGCTGCTCCGTCCTTCGCGGAGAAGACGGATTCCCATTTTGGCAGATTCGTTTTAGCTCATAAGCACGTGACGGTGGTTGAGTTTCGATGAAAATAAAAATAAGGGGAAAAAAAGTGTGTTGAGTGCGTTGATTTATTAAGAAAAAAAAAAGTTATTTTATCGCGACATAAGAAAATAAAGACTGTTAAAAAAAAAAAAAAATGCAGAATAATGACCACAATTGAAAAAAAATATGACGATTAACGCAATATAATTTTATGGACTTTTTTCTTTCTTAATTATGAAATAATCAATCTTGTAATACTGTGATTGGCTGGCAACCAGTTCAGTGTGCGCCCCACCTACTGCCCGAAGTCAGCTGGGATCGTCTCCAGCACACCCGCGGCCCTCGTGAGGCTAACCGGCTCACATAATGGATGGATGAAAATATTCTCATATATTAATATTCTGTTATCTTATAATGTCATTTAATATGCGGCGATATTCTTTTAATAACTTAAGGCTCTTTTTTTTTTCTTTGAAAAAAGGTCCTATTTTTCCAATTTCAGTTTTGTAATTGGCTGGCAAGTTACGCTAAGGTGCCACATACACACAGTAAGATGGTATGAACTGCTTCCGCCAACAATTAAAGTGCTTTCATTGTCTTTCTGGGACGCTTGCCAGTGGCGCAGGATCCATGCTGGGTCATTTGTGTGGTAGCGGTTTCTGAATTCAGCAAGACAAGAAACAGGGTGTGTGAAGTATGCTCCAATTATTGATGCTTGAGGTATTTTGATGGGGAAAAATGCCTTAAATTGCGCATAAAATGCACAAAATGTGCACTCTGGCTATGTCTACTGTATGTCGAGTATTTCTGTAACAATAATTTTATCTCCTTAAAGGCTTCGAGTTTGACAGCAGAGTAAAAAGCTGCTCTTCTCTCAGCACGTGTCACCAGGTTTGCAGCAAACTTCATCAACTGTACGAGGTGGCGGCGACGTTTCTGTTCCGCTGTGATCGACAGCAACTATTTCCTGCTTGCAGAACGCCTCTGAAGACCGATTCCCTCTGACAGATGTGGAGCAAGCGCGGTTTTCTTTCGGCGCCTTCATCTCACTTCCACCTTGTTATTTATAGGCGCTCCCTCTGAACCTCATCATCATCATCATCATCATCGCCAGCATCCCCGTCTGATCACTCTCCCGCTTTTCAAGTGAAAGAAGAAAGGTGAGGAGGAGGAAAAAAAAAGAAGAGACAAAAAGGTGCAGGAGAGCGGGATGAAAATAAAAGACGACGGCGGCCTCGCTTGATGTTGCGACGGAAGACGCGAGGAGGGAAAAGGGCAGCGCGACGTCCCGCGGGCGCCTTCAAATGAGTTTGGCGCGGGAACCAAGGTAAAGACGGCTCGGATGTGTGACAGTTGAGTTTTTTTTTTTTTTGACAGCGGACGCCAAAGTACACTCGAGTTTATTTTTAGCGACTTCACCCTTCAGCCTCTCTTTCAACTCGGAAAACGTCAAGGAAGGAGTGGAAGATCACTTTTCTGTGCGTCACTTGCATCAAGACGTCCGAGTTTATTCTTCAATATTGCACTTGTGATTTATTATGCCGTCAATTTTTTGACGGCATAATAATTCCCATGTATTTTTTATTATATATATATATATATATATATATTACCGTATTATAAGGCGCAGCTTCCAAGAATGGCCTATTTTAAAATGGTTTTCATGTATAGGGTGTGCCGCATTATAAAGCGCATAGAATAGAAGCTACAATATTGGCTGCGGTTGCGCTATGCGTCCACTAGATGGATCTATGCTAAAGGGAATACAATACAATACAGCTTGATTTATAGAGCGCTTTCACCACTGCTGCAGCTGTAACAAAGCGCTTCAGAGAATATTTAAAATACGACGTCCCAGAAATCAGAATATTGATACATATATAAAGCGTATTGGATTATAAGGCGCACTGTTGGCTTTTGAGAAAATTGAATGATTTTTGATGCACATTATAATAAGGAAATTCGGTATATAAATACAATATTCTGGCCGATCACCAATCCCCCGATCTTTAAAAAGCCTGACCTGCCGCTTCCGATTTTGGCCGATCCCAGAAGTATACACCTTTAATGCTCCAATCGAATTTTACTCTAAAACACTAAACAACACCTGTGAAACAATACAAACAGGTTGTCTTAGCTGCACATGAAGTAGTTCTCTAAATTATAACGAAAAGCGTATAGTCACTGCACAGCAGAAGAGGACAGTGGGTGAGTTTTTCAGAAATGTGTGGAGGCAGATGAGATCGGGAGACAAGATCGGTTGTAGTGTAAAGGGTAAAGAGTATTCTGCGATGTCGGGAGCAACGTGCGTGCGGCGTACCTTGTGGTTTGGTATCCTGAGGGTGATGACCGGAATGGGAACCTGGGGCGAAGTGCTCGTCGCTGTACGTGATCAGCGGGGTGAGCGGGTGGACGGCATGGGACGGCTGCACCACGGGAACTCTGTTGGACTGCGGAGGAGAAAATGAAACAATAGATTTGACATCACCGTATGCCAGAATGTATGAGCATTTTTTTTTTATTTCAGGTCAACAAAATTTTAATTCGTATTTTTGAGTTAGGGGTAGTTTTGAATCATGTTCCACAGAAAACGCCAAATGGCATTTCGGGACTTGGCAAAGGTTGACTGTCTGACACGGGAAAATACAAACTGCCTTTTGGACTGGGGAGAAAAAAAATGTTCAAATGGGAGTATGCCGCAGAGCGGGATGCAAAAGCGAGGGGTCTTTCAGACGGGAGATCAAAGGTGGTTATTAGCCAGTGAAT